TAATCAAGCATAGTTGTTTTGAACAGCGTTATATTATAATGCACGTGTATTGCTCTGAAACATACTGTACCTAAAATTCTTCTTTGTTCTGTTCCTTCCTGTTGTCCTCGCAGAGGAAACCAAAGCTCCAGCAGCTCACCGGGTAATAAAGTCAGCCTTAGGAGAGAAGTGATAGGTAGAGTAGAGGTCAGGATAGCAGAAGAGAGAAGGAGAGGAGAAGAGAGAAGGAGAGGAGAACAGAGAAGGACAGGAGAAGAGAGAAGAGGATAGGAGAGGAGGAAAATAAACAGCTTACTCTTACCTTAAACCTTGAGGGGAAAACCATACACCCTAACCCCAACCATAACAAAACATTACAGAAAAACAAAAGTTTAGCGATTGGCCCATGTAAAACGCCGAAAGAGTCTGGACCAAAAAACTCAGCCTACCTCGATTTCTTTACCCCCTCCAAAGGGCTAAGGTTCAGAGTTGGATAATACCATTACCATACCAGCCCTGAGTGCAGAACACATTCTACATTGTCAGGTCGCAGTCTGTGGAGTCTATTTTTATATAACATTAGAAAGACTGAGTCTTATTATTACAATATTTGCTTATTGTGCTCATTGTATGTTGATGTGACTTTGGAATAAATAGACCCAATCACCACCCCCCCCCCCACGTTTTGATGGGGTGGACAGGAACGGAGGGAAAAGTTACATGAGAAAGTGTTTAGCTTGCAATATTGAAAGTAGCAAGGTCGAGTGCAGAGACTGAGAGAATACAAAGAGGTAGTCAGAACAGCACATCGCACCAGCCTTGAATCAGTATGGAAGCCGCGCTCCCCCGCAAAGCTAGGAAGCAACATTATGGTTTCCCGCTATATCTGAAGAAACGTTAGAGAAAACAAATTAGTATGATGGTGCCAGAGTAGGGAGGGACTTCCACAGGCCGGCCGAATGCTGATTGGAGGAATGTGTTGCCAAGAGACTCTATCTGAGTCTGCGCACCAACCAAAGAGAACCAAGTCTAAACCATGGTATCTCTTCAGCTAGTCTTGACCAATCAAAGATGTACGGGCAACGCCCTGTGTAATAAAATGTATTGTCGCACGAGGTTCGAGGCTCTTGACGGATTTGGTGGTTACAGATTACAGCTTTGCTGCCTGTGATTCCCAAAGACGTGATGAGTCCTTGGCCAAGTAATATATATATTTTGCTCTCTTTACAATAAATAGTTCAACTTAGAAGTTGTCTGACTTTTCTGGAATTCTGAACCCAACAAGTCAAGAGCAGTTTTTCTGAAGTTTCCTGAAGTTTTCAGCTTCAGACAGGTCAAATGCTCCCCCTGAGCCACCAATCTCTCCAGGTTGAAGCATGTACTTATTCTATCTGGAGAAACGAGACCTGACAAGAGCCCTTTTCACGCTAGCTCATGACCGGCAGAGTGGTTATAGTACATTTGTAAAACCTGTTCTAAGTTAAACAGGCTGGCTTCTAATTCTTCCACTACTGCTTTAAGTTTTGTAGTGAAATGTAAGGTGTACTGCTTAACAAAAACCCTTGTGTCAACAGTCAAAATTGTCACTCTCAATCAGCTAATGGTCAAAAGCCCCCCAGGAAGCAAGCTGGGCGTTGAAGCAAATTTCCATAGAGGCTAAATGGTGGTAGTACAGTTTATGTGTCAGTCACTCCTTAAAGGTAGGGTAGGTAATTTTGGAGAAACCAGCTCGAGTGCGCTAGAATTTGAAAATACACAGCCGGAAAAAATCTGCCACTTCCTTATAGAGCCCCTCCTCCAACACACACGAACGCGCACATGACCAATGAGGGCACGAGATAAGTTTGTGCACAGATGGAAGGCTGACAGGCAGGTAGGCCATCCAGTTATTTTAGCCGGGCCGGCTAAAATGATTGGTCGTGCTTTTTACAGTACTACGGCTTCCACAGATGACATTTTTTTATGGATTTTTTGTCAAAGCACTTAAGATATTCATTGCTATCAGGATGTTAAGAGCATTCCATGGAATATAACAAAAAGTGTATCTCAAGCCGGTTTCTCAAACTTACCTACCCCACCTTTAAAGTTGTAAAATGCGCTAAAATGGAAACCCAGTGTTATTTTCCCTCTGCATTCTTTTGACTCAACCGGACTCAACCGAGGGCGGACATTTTGTGCAGATTGGACGGAAAACAATTAAATGCTCCCTGCTACTACTTCCATTACCTCCACTCAAGCTCACACTCAACAGAAACGGAAAGAGAGTAGGGGATAGTCGAGTAAAGTAGACAAGAGCTAAACATACTTTAATACTACTGACAGCTCTATCGCTACATTAGCATGCTACATGGTCCTGTGATATCTGACACACCTGTTACTGGACAGGTCCAGGTAGGTGATATTCGGAAGAAAGACAGCAGCGTGGGCAGGAAGGCTGGAAAGACGGTTGTTGTGGAGACCGAGAGTCTGGAGGCGGGGCATGTCCCTGAGCCCCTCCCAGGGGAAGGATGACAGCAGGTTTCCATCCAGACGTAGCTCTCGCAGGGCCTTCAGGTTGACAAAGCTGCTGGGGTGGATGGAGGTGATGGAGTTGTAGGTCAGCCACAAAAAACGCAGCTCTGACAGGTTGTAGAAAGCTGCCCGGGGGACCTTGGAGATAAAGGTCTTCTCTAGACGCAGTTTGACTGTATCAGCCGGGACGTTAACAGGAACGGCTGAGATCCCAGGGTCACTGCACTGCACCAACCTGTGATGGGAAATACAAAGATGTGTAATTTCTCAGTTCAATCATTCACACTATTTGATCATTTTAGCTTGAAAATATGCAATTCTCAAACACCATTTTGCTTGTCTAATGCTTTACATTGGTTACTTACAATACGTTAATTGTAGTTACTATGAGGATATTTCAAACAACCAAATGTGTAACATTAGTAGTGACTTTTCTTACCTAAAGGAATGCATGTGCATTTTGAAAGGCTTTACAAACATGCTCAATGGATTTCCTACCAGTTGTTTTTCCCTTGGTCAACGAACAGCAGATGGACAGTAGCTGAAAGCAAAATCTTGTACAAATCTGTTTTTTTCTCAATTGCAAAGGCCTTTGTTTCATATTAGAAACTTGAATATTTAATATATAAATTCCAAATCTTCTTCTCTGATTTAGTTCACGAATATACTTATTTTCCAATTAGAAGGATACATTCTCTAACTTTATTTGGTTACAAGAAGATTTCAACCCTGTCCCTGTTATCCTCCTAGTTTTTTTTAAGTTAAAAATGAATACAATTATAGTTACTCAAATTGTGACTCGGGCACAGGGGGTAAATAAGCATCTACCAATCAAAGGGTCAGCGGGTCAATCCCCTGCAACATGTCAGTGTCCTTAGAAAAGATACTTTGTCCCCAACTATCCAAATGTACATACCATTCAATACCAGACGTGACTGCGATATTGAATGGTAAGTAAAGCTGCTTTGGATAGAAGCTTAAAAACATGTAATGGGATGTTTTAAGTTTTGTTCCAGGAGGATCAACACAACAATACAAAGATGAGGATGAAATGAAGCTCACTCAACCTGAGCTCTGCGGCTCCAACGTTCCCATACGTGCAGGCACATAGAGCTGGACAGGACTGCACCGCCAACAGAGGAGACTGCAAGATGTGAGCGAAGAGCAGCAGAAACATCCTTCACCAGACAAACCGCATACTCAGACCAACACTTTGTATCTCCATATTCCCAGTGCTCTCCAGTCTGAGGTTGTGTCCACAGTGCAGAGTGAAACTGTATCCCAGATTAGCTGGGATTACACTGTTTACGAGCGGCATTTAATCCCACGCCCCACTGTCAGTAAAACAAATCACAACATCAGAGAAAGCCAACCAAAACCTTTAAGTCTACAGCATCAGTGCATGCACCTTACATTGAATTGTTAGCCATTGTTAATGATACATGATAGTGAATGGCAAATAAACTGTAGGGACTATAGGGTTTAAAGACTCTGTGATTGAAAAATGAGTTTATTGTAAGCCTGTTCAGTCCCGAATGAAACCTGAATGGTGTACTATGAAGTCTGGAAGATTGAGGTTCCTTTGATCCCATTATAATTATGTTGAATAAAGAGGAAAAACCTTCCCCATATTACATTTGATGAGCATGACACTGTCACAGTTTTCACTGATTTGAGCAAAGCATTGGTGGTTCTCTGCTTTACAGTTAACCAATTGAATGTGTCATGTATGTCTATTACACTAGTTATGTAAGAGCACTGTGATGTACATCTTGCTACTTTACTACTACATTTTTTTTTTTATATTTCACTGTAGCACTGGAAGTCATTTGTGTTGGAGTAGGCCATGATAGACCAGGTCTATAAGCCTGTGGATAATCACTGTTTCAGGTTATTAACATCAAAGTACGTTTTGGTCAAAAAGATTACCTCCATTAGTCTACCACAGTACAATATATTTTTAATATAAATGTTTTCATGCCACTATTTTACTCCTACTTTAGATCATAGATCTGTCGTGGTTTTTTTACTTGATGTTTTTAACATTTAAGATGCATTACTGGGCAAATCATAAAGGGCACACTGAAGCTTGACAACTACCAATATATGATGCATTAGCCAGGCTCTGAAACATAGGGAGATCATGGACAAAACACTAAATAAATCTGAAGCAAAAGGAATAATCAAAAGAAACCTCATTAGAGAAATAAGCACAGATTTAAGGGTGTACACGAATAAAGAAAAATACTGCATCTAATAGGAAAACATCCTTGAGGAATATGTGACCCCTGTCAGGTGCAGGAACCAGTGGAGCATTCCATGTTGCACTTCCACAAATACAATGTATAAGGCCTTGGTTTAGGGAGACTATTTCATTATTTAAAGCAAACAGATTTGAATGTAATTGTAAGGTAAGTGTATTCCCTTGTATGTATCGTTTTAAAGGTTTTATTATTATTTTATTAAGATGGGCAAGATCATTTCGGTCCTCACTCCAACCCAGTAGGTGGCAGTAATGCCCCTTAACTCTAGTTGCCACCTGCCAGAAAACCACATAAGAAGAATCAGAGGAATCACAGCTCGTATGTTTTGTTTTCTGAAGTTACTGTCAGTGGACCAGCTGTAAAATGTCCACTGTAACGCAACCTGCGAATGACCAGTATGTATTTCGTCGACGTGAATTTGAAGAACAGCCTCCGGAAAACAGGAGAAGATGGCAAACTCCGGAACATGTTTACGCTGCACGACAGACCGCTTTACATTACCAGCGATTACAGGTACAGCAAAGTACATTTAGCAAGCTAGCCGTAGCTGTTTACTTCACACCAGGCTAACCTTATTTACCCCCGACATTCATGGACCAGGACCCGGGGCTGGTTCGGCTGCCTTGGAGCTAAGCCTAGTGTGGTCTTATGTTATAGAAATAGTTTTTCAGTGGCACTTTAACTTACTACGACTTCCGTTTTAACAGTTTTCAGTAAGCAGTTATCCTATGGCACGAGCCCTCATAACACCAGCGCGTGAACCAAACCGTTAATTAAAAAGGCCGACACTGCGATGTTTCTTTTCGAAGGCGAGCGATACATACTGTACCTGGCTGGAGTTATTGATGTATCGAATGCTGTTATAAATATAATATAATACAATAGCTAATACACACCTTGTTATCAAAGCTGGTAAAGGTGCAGCTAGTTTTAATGACTTTGTATACTGCAGGGTAGCTTGCTTGTGAATTTACTCCAGGTGTAACTAAAGTCTGGTTAAGAGTTGATTATATTTCAAATCATTAACCCAAATCTGTAAAGTAACTAAAGGTATTAAATACATGTAGTGGAGTAAAAAGTACACAATGTATCTCTAAATTGTAGATGGGTAGAAAGAAGTACAACGTAGCATACAATGGGAAAAGTACAAGTAGCCTACCTCAGAATGTGCTTAAGTAGAGTACTTGAGTAAATGTACTCTTAACAAGAGACCACATCATGGAACAGGACCAGTACACATGTAATGCATTTTCATGTCACTGCTTTTAATAATGAATTATTTGTGATTAAGGCCTTCCCGGAATGAAAGTCCTATGTATTCATTTCTAACTTGTCATTTTTCCTTTGCCTATAAGATTTCTTTTTCAAATCAGGGTGTAGCCTGTGGTGAAGTGTTTTGTAGTCGATTTGTTTTTTGGTGCTTTCTTTATGGAAATTGAGTGGTAAAGAAAGTCAGTAGGTAGAATATATTACAGCAACTGCAGTGTGTGTTCTGTGTACCATTGCAGACAGGAAAGGGTGTGCCTCAGAATGCTGTTCTACAGTAAGGAAGTCAATCATTATACAGTAAATGGGATTACAGGCTGCCAGGAGAACAGTAGGGGCAGGGCTAGCAGGAAACGGAAGCCTTATGACCCAAAAACTGTATCACTGTGGTCCTTTAGTTTTTCGCTGTGACGGTATTATATCAAAGTATTACAAAAATAATGAGGATATTATTAATCTGAATTTCTTAACATGATTCTACCTTTTTTTAACTCTATTTGCAATGTAAGGGAACATATCTTAAGAAAGTAAAATATATTAACAAAAATAATAATAATAGTAATGAAAATAAGATATAAGCCTACAAGTGTTCTGGGTGAAGTAGCCTTATTAAGTAAGTGTAATCATGTCATAATTGTTTTTTATTTACAGGTTATCGACAATATATTTTGTTGCTACCCTTTTGTTAATCCCAGACTAAAGAATAAATAAGAATAGAAATCCTTCCGTCATAGAGAAAATAATTATGTATATGATCATATTTTTTTATTTAAAAAAAGAAATAGTGGCATTATGTTAACAAACTGGTAATTAAAATTCGGAAAAGGAATTAATATTTGGTTGTTATGATCAGGACTGGTTAAAAAATGTAGCTCAGTGAAATGTAATGGTAATATTAATCTAAATTATCTTTGAGGTAGTTTTTTTACAGACGTTGTTGTCCTTTAATGACATCAGAGAAACGTCTTTAAAGGGATGAACATGGGTTTTTTTCACAACTCCCCTCCATCATCGGGTCTATTTTGACCAAGTAGAGACTGTGACAGATGCTCCATTTTAGAATAAAAAAAAAAAATGGAATACAAATATTTCTATAAACATAAGAAGTTAAAGGTGGGGTAGCTAAGTTTGAGAAACCGGCTCGAGATACACTTTTTGTTATATTCCATGGAATGCTCTTAACATCCCAATAGCAATGAATATCTCAAGTGCTTTGACAAAAAATCCATAAAAAAATGTCATCTGTGGAAGCCGTAGTACTGTAAAAAGCACGACCAATCATTTTAGCCGGCCCAGCTAAAATAACTGGATGGCCTACCTGCCTGTCAGCCTTCCATCTGTGCACAAACTTATCTCGTGCCCTCATTGGTCATCTGCGCGTTCGTGTGTGTTGGAGGAGGGGCTCTGTAAGGAAGTGGCAGATCTTTTCCGGCTGTGTATTTTCAAATTCTAGCGATCTCGAGCCGGTTTCTCCAAAATGACCTACCCCACCTTTAAAGTAAAACGTCAAATGAAAGATAAAATAAAAAAGAATGAATAATGTAACCAAACCTGAGACGTTAAAGTAAAATGTCCAATAAAAGATAAAATAGATATTTATATTAGATGTTTATATTAATATAAGAAGACAAATGAGGACTGAAATAAAAACATTTAAAAAAAATGTTATATATAAACATAAGAAGTTAAAATGTGCATATTGCATAGTCATCAATGACTGGATGTGTCAGAACTTTCTCCAATTAAACAAAGACAAAACTGAGGTAATGGTTTTTGGAGCCAAGGCAGAACGTATAAAAGTTAGCGCTGAGCTTCAGTCTGCAATGTTCAAAACAACAGATAAAGCCAGAAATCGAGGTGTAGTCATGGACTCTGACCTGAGTTTCAACAGTCACATTAAAACAGTTACTAAATCAGCCTACTATCACCTAAAGAACATATCTAGGATTAAAAGACTAATGTCACAGCAGGATTTGGAAAAACTTGTCCATGCTTTTATCTTCAGTAGACTGGACTACTGTAATAGTGTCTTCACAGGTCTCACTAAAAAATCTATTAGAAAGCTGCAGCTGATTCAGAACGCCGCTGCTCGAGTCCTCACTAACACTAAGAAAGTGGATCACATCACTCCTGTTCTGAAGTCCTTACACTGGCTTCCTGTGTGTCAAATAATTGATTTCAAAATACTGCTGCTGGTTTATAAAGCTTTGAATGGTTTAGGCCCAAAATACATTTCAGATCTACTGCTAAATTATGAACCAACCAGAACTCTCAGGTCTTCAGGGACTGGTCAGCTTTCTGTCCCCAGAGTCAGAACTAAACATGGAGAAGCAGCATTCAGTTATTATGCTCCAAATATCTGGAACAAACTCCCAGAAACCTGCAGGTCTGCTGCAACTCTTACTACTTTTAAATCCAGGCTGAAGACTTTTCTTTTTGCCGCTGCTTTTAATTGAACTATTCATATCTTAAACTGCACTGTAACTTTTATCCATGTATTTTTTCTTTTAATGTTTATTTGATTATCTTTGCTTTTTAATGACTGATTTAAAATGCCATTTTCTTAATATCTTTCATTTTTTGTAAAGCACTTTGAATTGCCTTGTGTTGAAAGGTGCTATATAAATAAACTTGCCTTGCCTTGCCTATTGCACTACTATATACTAATTTAGATGTATATCACAATATAAACAGAATAGGAGTGCCTCTGGTTTAGTAGAATCGGAGGATAAACCCTCTTTATTGGTCACACATACATGCACACGGCACACACAGTGACATTTGTTCTCTGCTTTTAACACATCCTAGTACTAGGATGCTATTGTACAGCATCCGGGGAGCAGTTGGGGTGTAGGGTGTCCACTTTCCAATACCTTGCACAAGGGCACCACGGCAGGGCCCAGGAGGTGAACTGGGACCTCTCCAAGTAGCAGTCCACACTCCATATTTTAAGTCTCTTCGGGGACTTGAACCGGCGACCCTACGGCTCCCTGTCCAAGCCCCTACTGACTGAGCCACTGCCGGACACGTTGTGTACTGATGAGCTCTTTATATCTGTGTGTATATATAACCTGTTCTAAACATTGTCTCCACAGGCTGAAAGCAGCCGGCCCCGACCTGCCCCCCCCAGGGACCCCAGCAGCAGATGGCCCCTCGTGGACGACCCCACCACCAGAGAGCCTCAGCTGGACGACTGTGAGCGCATGGGGACTCTGTTCGGGATGCTCAACAAGGGTCTGCGGAGGATGGGCTTCAGCCAGATGTACTTTGGGGACAAGATAGTGGAGCCGGTAGTGATCGTGTTCTTCTGGCTGCTGCTCTGGTTCCTGGGGATCCAGGCCCTGGGGCTGGTGGGAACTCTGTGCATCATCATCATCTATATCCAGAAGTGACGGGGGCGGAGCCTGCTGTTCGCTTGGGTTAATGCTTCCATCTGCGGGATCTTTGTCATGCGAATGGATTTGAGGGGGGCGTTTAAGTGATGGTGACTAGCAGCTTTCTGCAATTGGTTTGAAGCTTGTTCAGTGTTTCAGAGGGTCCCTTCTTCAGGATTGATTTTCCCTCAGATACAGGAGTGGTGTTGTCCCGCTGCCTCTGCTATTATTCTGTTGAAATGGCATGGAGAGCTGCAGGAATGAGTCCTAAAACCAGGATATGAGTTAGCATTTTAACACTTCCTGTTCCCTTGTCTCAAAGTTGTTTTTTTTAACATGTTTTTGGTTATATAGCTGAAATAAGATCTGTGGTTAACAAAAGATTTTCAATTTCCAGAAGTAACACATGTCAGTAAATACTCCACTGGTGCATGCCTGAAGCTTTTATGTGTCATAAAAACGGCGGTTGAATACTAGTTAGTAAATAAGACTACTAAAAGTAATCTCGCCGAACATTAGCCGCTTTTAGCTTAGCGGTGGTGACATAAAGTCACGTGACCATGATTGTCAAGGTTGTCTATTTATAGCATTAGCTAACGTTAGCTTTTAACTCTTGCAGTAATTAGGGTTAGGTAATTAGCAATTACGCTTCAGAAATCATAAAGTGGTGTAAATATGTGGAAATGATCCTGCTGAACACAACATGTAACATGTCATATCATAACAATGTGTTTACCATAGATCTTATTTTCAGCAATATTTGGAAATCCAATGGAAAAGCCCCATTGATTTTTGTCGAGGGAGCCATTAAGATGCTAACTTCCGGGTCGGGCTACAAAAATACGTCTTCACGGCACCACTCTATATATGATCTGAATATGAGAACAGGAAGACATTGTTGGAAATATCTAGTTTTAGTTTGAATCAAAGACTAAAGAGTGAAGGACTGAAGTCGCAGCACTGAGGAAACACTGCACACATCTCTGTTTACTTCAAAAAGATTGGAGATCTTCGCTGACATAAAGAATGTGAACGTGTTGGGTAATCGTATAACCCATCCGAAGGAAAGGTGTCTGAAAGTAAATCTGACACCTTGTGAAACCTATGCTGTAAAATGTTTACTTTGTGAAAGGGAAATATATATTGATGGCTGATTAATGAGAAAAGTATTGTTGTTCTAAAAGTGACACTTCAGGTTTCTATTCTGGGGACCGGTTCTGGATAACTGTCTCCTTTGCTTTATGTATCTTGGTGCCTGCAAAATTAAATGCACTTTGGTACGATGGTGTATTGGGCCATTGTACGCTAAACAAAGAATACGTAGCCAGGGAAGAAAACTAAAACCCATTCACAAGAACACCAAATATTATCTGAGATTCATAAAAAGGGCATTGATTCAGTTTTTAATGTTGGCGTGACCTCAGCCCAGCTTGCTGTGTATTTTTCTAATTATACTTTTCAACGGTAAAGGTTTCAGCAGTAAGGAAATAACATCAATGGCAGTGGCAGATTTTTTCCGGCTGTGTATTTTCAAATTCTAGCGCACTCGAGCTGGTTTCTCCAAAATGACCTACCCCACCTTTAAGTTGACATTCACAAAATGAAATGATTCATAGAACTGCTCAATATAGCATATCAATATCAGACCTGTTATTGTTTTGGGCATTTTTGTGTAAAATCTATTTACATAGGGTGACACATAAACACATCTTTGTTACCAAGTCAGGTGCCTATGAATAAAAGGCGGCTCTCGTTTCTTGATGGTATCCTATTTACAGCACGTACCGTCAAAGCTCGAGGCGGACAGCATTCAGTTGCATTATATTTTACAACAGTCCGAATTATGACCTCCTTACAAAAAAATATGCAAACAGTAATAAAACGAATGTTGAAATTCATTGGATTTATAATTTCCTTCAGTTTTTTACCATGGTATCAAATTACATATCAGGAATCGTGGAATTTCACAGGTATGGACTACTACATTTCTGGTATTGGGACTTCCCTATAGAAGTTACAAAATTGTCTTAACCTGTCAGACCGATTGTATATTTTTCACTGCTTTTATCATCTTATCTGATATCTGTCATCATGAGGTTTATATGTGTTGCTGAAGCATTCTCAGGTGTTGCAAGTCTTTATATGATGTCCACCATCACAAGGCAACAATCCAACAAAGCTGAATGTAGCATTGCAAACTGAAGTAGTTAAAACCTGTCTCCTATCATTTATATGTTACTTTTTGTTCTAATGGTAGCAATTTATATTAAACACATTCAGAGCCTTAACTCAGTTCTTGGCTGAAGCAGATAGAGCCGCCATGAAGCCTCCAGTCCTCCGCTCTGTCCGGCTGGATGGAGGACGTTGGCGAATGGATATTTCTGGCTGGGCTCTGCCCAAGCTTATTCATTAAAAAGTATTGTGTGTCTTTCAACCAGAAGGTTGTGGGTTCGATCCCAGCCCATGCAGTCAACATGTCGATGTATCCTTGGGCAAGATACTTAACCCTGAGTTGCTCCCGATGGCATGGCCAACGGTGTGTGAATGTGTATGCATGTTAGTTCCTAGAGTAACATACACTGCTCTGTATGAATGGGTATGAATAGGCGAACGACATGTAGTATGTAAAGCGCTTTGAGGGGTCTTAAAGACTGGATAAAGTGCTATATAAGTACAGTCCATTTACCATTTATAATTATATAGCGCTTTGAGCACCAGGAAAAGCGCTATATAAATCACATGTATTATTATTATAAGGTAGAGGAAGTCATTTAAATCATTTGAGCATAACACTGCAACAGATCATTTGGAAACAGAGAAGGATCTGAATATGATCTGCTATATAGTGGCATTTGAATGTAGAGTACTTGTAAGGAGTTGAAATAGCTGATGGGAAGGGTTAAGAAAAGGATTCAAAGTAACAAAATAATAAAAGATTGCAGCAATTCCTCACGCAGCTGAATATCTCACAGTGCTGCAGTATCTAAAGGTGGATTTTTGCTTGACTTGACTTTAGATTTTTCTGGTAGACTCAGGTTGTTTTATTTTTACAGTTGGACTTGTTTTCTGATCAAAAATATTTGTATTGCGTTTGACAATGCATTAGTAATGTTTGCCATTTAGAAACGGAAAGCAAAATATATGTATACAAATGAGACAATGGTCTACTGATTGTATGTACAAAGAGAAAAAATAGTTACAAAAAAACACAAACAAACAATAACAATGACTAAAGTAATCTCCTACATTCACTGCCAGTGAGCCTCATACACACGATTATTTACCAGAAACATTGTTAAATTAATATATATGCATGTAATACATATGCCTATACGTACATGCAGCAAATACCTATAATCATACATCTACTGTATACATACACACATACATACATATGCTGCAAAGCTAGGAGGAGAGCAAAGGACAGAGATCGCCCCCGTTCTGCAGTTAAATACATCTCCTTTCCTATAAGCCCAAATATGGCAGCCAGAGGATTTGGATCCAGTTCAGTACTGAACACCTGGGATAACGTTTGAAAGATCTCTGTCCAGTACATGCTGAGGCGAGGGCAGGACCAGTACATATGAATGAGAGAGGCTTCAGCAGTTTGGCATTTATCACAGTTTGGACTAACATCAGGATACAGTTGGAGATATTTTAATTTCATTATTTGAATGTGCAGATGTCCAGGTTAACTGACCACACTCTGTTGTATAACTGATCTGTAGTCAACACACGTTATATTAAATGCTGAGGTGATGCAGGTTCAGCTGTAAACCACTGGAGGCATGCTGCATTTTTCTTTGTTTTAAAGGTCCCCTATTAGACTGTTTTTCATCAATATATTATAGGTCTCAGATGTATACAAAACATGTCTCTGAAGTGTTTGGCTCCAAATACCAAACAGATCATTGCAGCATCTCATAATCCCCTCTGTTTCAGCCCTGTTTCAAAAGTGCTGATTCTCTGTCTGTTACTTTAGATGAAAATAAGGAGCCCCTCCCCACGCCCCTCTGAGAGATATTTGGTTAAAAAGAACACAATGGTGCTCTAGGAGGAGATTCAGGTGATAAGGTGTGGGGGGGGGGGGGGGGGGTTACCTTGGTTGGTGATTGGCTAATGGCAGAGGTGGGGACTCGAGTCACATGACTTGACTCAAGTCAGACTCGAGTCGCATATTTTTTGACTTGAGACTTGCTTGACTAACATTGATAAAAGACTTGACTTGACTTTGACTTGGTATTCATGACTTGAGACTTGACTTAAGCTTGAGACAGATGACTTGAAAGGACTTGACTGTTTAAAATTAAATATTTGCGTTTGTTTTTGTAGTGAGATATTACGTTTAGTTTGTTCGAAAAACGTGATTGGGTGATTATAGCGCCGTGCGCGCAAACCTGGCAACCCACTAGACGGCAGGAGCGTCAGTTAACATGGCAGCGGCTAGCGTTACTCCACAAATAGTGAAGTTTGGATTCAAGGATTATGTTGTCGATGACGCTAATAAGAAGAGAACAGCGGTATGCAGGGTCTGCAGCATAAAGATCAGTGACACGACCACCACAACATCCAACTGCATTCGTCACTACAAAAAAACCCACAGAGAAAGGTGCGTGGATGTGTTGTGTTAGCTAGAAAGCTAACGTTAAGTTTAAGCTACGTTAGACTTGGTTTCAAATCGATTAAGCATTGCAAAGAGAAGACAAAACGGTAAATGAACACTAGAACCGCCAAGGGATTCATTTGTACTAACCCTGATACTGACGGGCTGTCAGGAGAGGGAGAGGGAGAGAGAGAGAGAGAGGAAAAGAGATGCCTCGTTTATTTCCCCTGTGTTATTATCAGAAGTTACTGTAAACTGTTGACTAATGTAGTTCATCTACTTTTAGTAGTTTGTTTAAATGTTTTAATTATGTTGTTTTTGTTTGTAGAAGTGCATCATTTCTTGATTTATTGTAAAATGAATCTGAACTTTTTGATCTGTTATGATGATAAACTGAAGCCATTTCTAAATTAACCCAATTAAGTGAGTTTTAAATCGTCCTACTTAGTTTATAAGGAAATTATGAAGAGGAACAAATGAAATGATTTGAAAATGATATCTATGTAGGTGCTGACGCTGTTGGCGGTTCTAGTGTTAACAGACATTTAAATTAAATATGTGTAATGGCAAATGCCATATATGATTTTCTTACCTGGAATTCTGCCTTTTTGAACAGACTTTTTGATTGAGTCCTAGCTATATTGTCTGCAGTTCTAGGGTTAATATTAATCTAATATGATTGTCATCGGTCTAAATTAGATTTCAAATGATTAACTGTGTATGTAATGAAGATCATAGTGTGGGTTAAATCCATTTTCATAACCACTGTCTTTTAACTGATTTAAATGCGGAAACTGGGCTTATTCATCAGAATTTCGTATGACTTGACTTGTGACTTGCTTGACCTGAGCAATGACTTGACTTGACTTGCTTGACTCTCACCACAGTGACTTGGGACTTGCTTGATACTTGTAGGTCAAGACTTGAGACTTGCTCATGACTTGCACATGTAGGACTTACTCCCACCTCTGGCTAATGGTTACACAAGCCAAAAAATCGTTATGAAATCACAAAGTGGCCAAAATCTGATCAGCTCATTTTCAGACAGGTTTTTATATAAATGGATCAGGACAAAAAGAGAGAGAATCTTTGTTCCTGAACCTTTCAGAATCTCTTTACACAGAGGGGACACATGTTGATGTAGAAGAGACATGGAAAAAGTGGATTTTGCATAATAGGTGACCTTTAAGATACAAGTTATTTTAACATAGATTATTGTTAATAAGGTGTGCACTGAGTTGTATGCATACTTACAAAAGGAATATAGGATCAAATTGTTTTGCAAAGATGATTAAAAGTGAGCGTTCCTAAAAATTTTCTTTGGCTTAAATTCAATTTTAGAAACGCTTCACATCACTGTCTCATACGTATACATGTGTGTTAAGTGCATAAGCAACGTTAAACAGGGAAGCTGATAAGGTGCAATCAGCTTTATAGTTAAGCATACAAGAAATCTGCTTCAATGTGTAGTGGGGTATACATAAGTTTACACAGTATGGGGAAATAAGTTATAAGAGAATTAGCAAAAATATAACTATTAAAAACTGAATTTTTGTTATTGTTAATATTAAAATATAAGAGCTATTCACACAAGAATACAAATAAACCGAAAAACTAAAACTAGTCAAATAAAGATCTTCTTGATGTAATGGAATATAGTTCTTATAAGAGGAGAGGACGGCTCAGAAAGAGAGAGATATTCTCTACAAACACCGGGTGAGATCCTCCTTTATCAATATAATGGATCAATGCATGAAATCTGACTCTGTTTATTTTGTTTAAGGAGTATATTGGGCGTTAACAATTCTGGTTTGCCTTTTATAATATTATTTCATTCAAGAACCCCTTGTGCGTTTAATTAACACAGCTATTTTTGATAGTTGCTACAGCAGTGAGCAGGAGAGGTGGGGCTATCGCTATTTTTTCAGGAAATATTCGTATAGAGGTGATTACACGGACTCGGTTGACCCCCCAGAGCGTTTCGTTTGCAAATCTATCCACCTTGGGACCCGTTATCGTTTGTGGGGTCAGTTTCTATCGGCCTCGTGTAAATAATAGGGCTATACGCACGCGAAACTATGCAGATACAAGCAGTTTTCTCCTCGTGTAAACGGCGCCTGAGGAACCAGGATAAGCAAACATGTTCCAGAACCTCTGAGAAGTGTGTGACACCAAAACCCAAACCCAGGATAAAGAGGTTCAGTGAATGTGGTTCTGAAGGTGTGGAGCTGGATCAGTGTGTCAGAAGAGACTCTGTAGAAGGACTGAGAGCCAGCAGGATGATCCACATACACT